CATTTTAAGGTAAGTAATGAGTGCACTATGTGTGTACTGTAATTTTTTATTGTTTTTTGATGCCTAGTTCTAATGCTAACTTAATATATGTTAGTGTAAACTTGTTATCTAGTATTTGTATGCATTTATAAGTGGAAAAAAAGGGTGTTCCACTTTACGCCGATTTCCGCTTTACGGCGGTAGCCTGGAACCTAACCTGCCATATAAGTGGGGCCCTACTGTACTTTTCATTGTGAAATCATTGAAAATCATCTCAATTTCTGTAATATGTCTTCCATTCTATAAAATGAGACCAGGAAAATTAGAATACAACCATAAATAGCATACTAAAATACAGTAGGGCCCCGCTTTACGGCGTTTCACCTTACGGCGTTCCGTTAATACGGCGATGTCAAATTATAACCAAAATTTGCTATACGGCAAGCAGTCTTTCAAATACGGCGCCCCCCCACCCGGTTTGTTTACATTCTCTGTGACCACGTCTATTATGTCAGGAAATTTTTCAAAATTTCAAGTGTTTTAAAGTTACTGCGTATTTTATATGTACTCTGATAATTATACTTATGTGTACCTGTACCTAAATATACTTTCACACTGTGCTGGTGTGCAGGTACACATTAACCCTTTGACTGTTTCAGGCCCCTCTCTGAAACTGTCATTCTATGTCGCTCAATTTTTGAAAAAAAAAAAATTATTTTTTCTTATGAAATGATAGAGAATCTTTTCCCGATGGTAATGACACCAAAAGTTCGAAATTTGGTCGAAAACTCGTGGAATTATGCTCCCGCGAAGTTAGCGGTCTCGGCGACATATGCGTATCGGCGATTTCGCCGACTTTGAGCCCTATTTTCAGCCAATTCCATTGTTCCAGTTGACCAAACTCATAGCTATTTCTTTAGAACTCCGTTTTATCTATCAGCTGAGTACAAGAAACCTCCCATTTACTAATTTGGACTACCCAATATGGTGGTCAGAAATTGGCAATTTGGCCAATTTCACGCAAAATAAAAAAGATGCCAATTTCAAAATAGGGTCCAGAATAAACAAGGTAGACATTCGTGGCACTAAAATAACATATGCTCTGTTCATTAGTCACATCTCTAGGCCCCTCTTATATTATTATTGCTTTCTATTTTGATTTTTTATTCATACAAAAAAATAAAAATTTACTGTTATGCAGACGACTGCATTATTGTAAAAATGGTATAAATAATATCAGTGCACTAGTGAAAGAATATTAGACTCCCCAGTTGACGTGTATTGGACGTGTGGTGTGATTTATTTACTCTTGAACATTGGTAAAAATCGAACATTTCCGCTACTTTGAGCTCAGTTTCAAGGTCGTTTTCATCATAAAAGTAATGAAAATCATCTCTATTTCTGTAATATGTTTTCCATTTTATCACCTAAGACCATGAAAACGCGAATACAATGATAAATACTATACGAGAAAACACCTCAAAGTCGGCGTTTTATTCCAAAAAAACGATCAGAGTTTTTTTTTTCTCATTACGCAATGTGTGCTGCAGGATTTTTTTTATGTGGTGCACACTGATCATACAGACCCATTCTCTCACATGTGGGCCTACCAGCTTTCTCCCACTTGATTTGAAGCCGCTAGAATTATTGAGTATATATACGTCAGAAACATTGGCTCGTAAGACGTATTTATACGTCGAAAACAGTCAAAGGGTTAAAATCGCTAATTCTCTCTCTACTCATGATGCCAATACATGTACTACGTAATAATAATCACTCTTGGGCACACTAAATGTCATATTTTACATTATTATAGGCATTTTCATTAATCCATCTATGATATTTTCCTCAAAATTATATATGAAACCCGTTACATAACATATAAACATGATACATACACTCACAGAATAAAAATTGACGTAAATATGAGATGTTTACAAAGCAGCTGTGTAGGTAGTGTCGGAAGAATTACGTTTTCTCTAGTCAAACTGGAGGATAACTGTAGAAAAATATTCTTTTTGTATGCCTTTACTCTATATATAGCAATTCACAACCCTTGTGGGTTTAGTGCTTTTTATTATAATAATAATAATAATAATAATAATATTATTATTATTATTATTATTATTATTATTATTATCTTCATTCACTCTAAAAATGGTGTGTTGCTGTTTGTTTATTCTGTACTAACTTGTACACAATATAAGAGTGTTGGTATTGTGAGATAATTATTATTATAATAAAAAAATATTGAGGTAAATGTTTTACAAGCTCTTACAAACGTACTCGAATGAACTAAAAGTAGACACATATTAATATGCATTTATTTTTGCCTGACCAAGTGATCGCCCACTACCTGTTCAGTTTGTGTTCTTAAATTGTCTCAACTCTGTATCTCATTCTCTTCTCGTTTACTCTTTCGTTAACTAGTTGGCCCTCATTAACGATGGCGTCTAAGGTTAGCTGTGAGAAAAAGAGAAGTCGTAAGCCTCTTGCTTTAGGTGCCAAGTTAGAGGATGATGGTGTGCCATTCTGATTTTATTTAATAAACACCCTGCCACTCACCTCTCACACATTAATATTAATATTTTAAGGTAAGTAATAAGTGTACTCTGTGTGTATCTTACCTTTTATTGTGTTTTTAATGCCTATTTTTATTGCTAACTTTGATGTTGGTGAGGGGCTCTTGATTTAGGGAATTGGATCTGTGCTCCAGTTCCCCGAATTAAGCCTGAATGCCTTTCACATCCCCCCCAGGCGCTGTATAATCCTACGGGTTTAGCGCTTCCCCTTGATTATAATAATAATAATAATATTGCTAACTTAATATAAGTTAGTGTAAACTTGTTGTATGGCATTTATTGCATATTTTTTATGTGCTCTGATAATAATACTTGTAGAGCTGTGTGGTAGCCGGGTGGAGGAACATTACGTTTTCTCTGCTCAGCCATCAGAGAAAACGTGTATGAATCTGCGTTTGGCCCAGCCACTCCCCCACTTCACTTTTGTTTACAATTTTCGGCATGAATTATTCATTACTTCTCCCTTCGTTTATGATGGCATCTAAACGTAGTTGTTAGAAATGATTAAATTCAGTGAACAAGGTATATCGATGTTAATAATATGGCTCTGGGCTGCAGTGTAGGTAGCCGGTAGGTGTAGCCCAGGTGGGCTACACCTACCGGCTACCTACACTGACTTCCTATAAATAAATACTACTCACCTCTCTTCCTATATTAAGACTACACATATTTTAGGGTAAATAATGAGTGTACTGTATGTGTATTTTACCTCTCTGGGATGTTTTAAATATCGTATATTAAGTATGAGACGGGGAGCCAGGGCTACCTACACCTGGGCTACCTGTACCTGACTTCCTACAAATAAGTACTACTCACCTCTCTCCCTACATTAAGATTACAAATACTTCAAGATAAATAATGAATGTACTGTGAATGTATTTTACTTTGTGTGTTTTTAATGCCTAGTTCTATTACTAACTTAATATAATTTAGTGTATTTATACATGGAAAAAATAGCGTTCTGCCTTCCGGCTATGTCTGCTTTCCGGGGACAGCCTGGAACCTAACCCGCCGTATAAGTGGGGCCTTACTGTACACTGCAAATTTGCTGTTTTAAACCAAAAACATGGTCGGAGTTTTTTTTTCTCATTATGCACTGTGTGCTACAGGACTTTTTTTATACTGCGCACACTGACCACATAGACCCATTCTTTCATATGTAGGTCTACCAGCTTTCTCTCGCTAGATTTGCAGGCGCTAGAATTTATGCATACTAGTACGGCACCAACCCTGAAAGGGTTAAGGGTGAAATCTGCTGTAATACAGCACTGTACATGGTTGATATTGTGTTGAGATATGGCTTAACAAGATTCAGTTAGACCGGTGAATGTGAGAAAACATGCTAGTTCTTGATCATTTGTTATTTCAGACGTACGACCCATGTCTGGTAATTTTACCATGAAAATGCCATCGTGAGTAAAGCACTGTTTTATTGTTACATTGTTATCACGCTTAAGTTTTCGAAGTCTGTATAGTAGGCTCTGTCATTTTTTAGTTAGGCACTCATTTACATACACATTACCCCATTTCTTGATGGAGGAACTTATTAGGTCCTTTTTTACATCAGTGGAATTGAATTTTAACATAACACTGCTTTTGACCCAGCCTGCCTGGCAGTTAAGCCTCCTTGATATCGCTGGTTTCAGTGTTAATTTGTATCTCATCTTTTATCTCATCTTTTTATTAGCCACTATCATGCCTCAGCATGATAGTGGCTTTCTTTGTACCAATCAAATTATGAAATGTAAACACACATTGTAACCTGTTCAAAGAAATAAACTTTTGTTTGTTTGTACTATATGCAGTATTGGTATCAGAGAAGACACCCACCATTCTATGTGAAGTCAAAGCAGACAGTAAAGCATTTAATGTAATACAAAGCAATCAATTAACCCTTTCAGGGTCCAAGGCCAAAATCTGAAGTGGTGCCCCAGTGTCCAAGAAATTTTGAAAAAAAAAAAAAAAAAATTCTTACAGAATTGAAGATAATATTTTTGTGAAGGTAATTAAACAAAAAAAAAATTCTGATCAGTACTTACCGAGATACAGCGGCGGTTAGTTGACCCAAAATGACCGGGTGAGGCAACATCAGTGACTTCCGCAAAATCCCATTTTTTTATTTTATGTTTTTTATACTTTTTTCTTTTCTTTTCTAATTTTTTTTCTTTTTCTAATAACATTTGTGGCCTGTGAGACCAGTATAATGTATATTGTATAAGTAAACACTCATTGTATTCAACACAATAACTGCACTAATTTGTTTATCATTATATTGCTTACAAAACTTGTTTACAAGTTTATTGTAAACAAAATGATGAAAATACTATTAGTGCGGTTATTGTGTTGAGTACAACGGTACCATATGGTACAATGGTGCCATATGATACAATGGTACCATATGGTACAATGGCACATGATACAATGGTACCATATAATACAATGCTACCATATGGTACAATGGCACCATTTGGTACAATGGTATCATATGATACAATGGTACCATATGGTGCAATGGTACCATATGGTACATTGTACCATACAGTACAATGATACCATATGGTTCATTGTACCATATGGCACAATGGTACCATATGGTTCAAAACCATAGAATTCGTCTTTAGCTCCACTTCCATCAGTCTTAGAACTGTAAGTTGTGAAAAGGAGAGTCAGAATTCGCCCGGAGAGTGAGTGGGGAGTGATAGCTTCCTTGCCGCCAGGCATGATGAACAAAGCTACTTTGCCGGTGTTCCCACAATGCCATGCGGGTGTCCAGATTTTTTTCTATGGTGTGCACACTGACCACCCAGACCCATTCTCTCAAATGTAGGCCTACCAGCCTTCTCGAGCTAAATTTGACGCCACTAGAATTTTGGCGTAGATCTACAGTTTGGACCCTGAACGTAAAGCTGTAGATCTACGGGACGGACCCTGAAAGGGTTAAAATTGAACCCAGGGAGTAATAAAATATACACCTAGATCTTCTTCTTTCAACAAACTGGCTGTATCCCACTGAGACAGGGTGGCCCAAAAATAAAAATTCAAGTCTCTCTCTTTAACTTTAGTAGTGTACACAGGAGAAGGGGTTACTAGCCCCTTGCTCCTGGCATTTTAGTCGCCCCTTACGACATGCATGGCTTACAAAGGAAGAATTTTGTTCCACTTCCCCAAGGAGAATAGTACCTAGATACCTTGGGGTAATTCTTGATATTGCTAGAAGTTAGGTGTACATATTCCAAAAGAAAGCCATTATTTTTGATAGAGTATTTTTTATTAATTATGACTAATTTTTATTGGGTAATGAAAGAGCTTTCACAACATCATACAGTACATTATATTTACATTTTTCATGCTTATATTATATAACTAAAGTGGAATGACTTTAATACATATATGATGTGAATCCAATAAATCTTGTTTTATAAAACTATGTTACAACATAAATAAACAGTAAAACAAGTATTAGATAAAAACATTTCTTTCAGAAGTACATAACTGCAATACTATATCATGCATAACTGACCAAATTTATATTTTTTAGTAACTGAATTAAACATATACAATTCCTACAGTAACAATGCTGTCAAGATAAACTTTTCCAGTGAGTGCAGTGAAGGAAAATCGTAATAAAGACTATAGTGAATAATATTGGTAATGAGTGATGACTAGAGGAGGCATTGTTGCAGAGGTTATACCCACAGTAACAATACTCTGAAGATGGTGGCTTGTATGCACTCTTGTGTTCTATACATCCTTCTTTGACTAGACCAGCCTCAGCATAGCGAGCGTTATCAGTAATGTTGGGTGTGCAGCCGTCCATGGTGGTCACCACCACATTCTCTGTAAGTAAGAAGAAAATGGGAATTTGATCATACATAAAATTTCTGTAAGAAAATTTCCTTTAAGAGATAATATTGTACTTCACAGGTGTACCAAGCTTTATGAAATAAATGCATTCCAGACCCATGGCAGTTGTACTAAGCTCACTTAAGATATCAATCCTCAAGGGTGGCCTGAGGGGGGAGACTCCCCAAATAAAAATAACACTTCAAGACAAGTTCCCTAGCCCTGGTTCCATCCAGGTGTCCACCCCTGAGCCCATCTTATTGGAAACTTCAGGAACTGCTCCTGTCAGTACTGAATTCCACAGAAGAGTATTTATTATGCTATGTGAACTTCAGTCATATGTGGAGAATGTATGTTACACCTATGGAATATTTACAGAAATGGAAAATAGCAGAGCAACAAATCGGAATAAAACCAAGGCAAACGTGTATTTTAAAATCACATTTCTAGTAACTTAGGAAGTTTTAGACCATAAAACTGCTCAGAATCATTTAGATATGTCATTTATTTAGCAATATTTAGCTGTCAAGCTAATGACTTTATTAATTCAGAAATATAGATTCTTATAATTCCTAGACCAAAAGAATAATTTGCTGTTTGGCATTAAAAACAAAGCAGCAATCTTGACATCTAAGTTTTTTCATGAATGGGCAGGCTTTATACTTCACTGTATGATAATTGCACATTCTTGGCCTTGGGTTAGACCCATCCCCACCCATTCCTTGAAAGAACTACAGTCATGTTAAAATTTTCTGTAACCATTTGCATTTAGACAAAACCAAAGTGAAGGAAGTGTAGAATAAACCCAGTGAAAAACAGGAGTACTGTTGGCACACTTGGAGAACACTGTCAACAGCTGTGCTCAAAGACTTTAATATAAAATGTATACTATTAGATTAAAGAAATAGTGTCATAACAAAAGAAGAGATTTTCATAAGGAAACAGGACCACTACTGGCTCAACGTGCCTGAGAGATAAGTTTTGATGTGTATATAAACTTTTAAGCTGCTAGCAGAAAGAGTCTTGTTGACAGAGCAGTCAACAAAGTAGTTTGTCCTCAAGCTGGGTTCCAAAGGTAGAAGAACTCTCAAAGCCAGCCACAGGTATTTTGCAAATAGGCACTGCAAACTTTTCCACAACACCTTTCTCAACTGTCTCCTACTCTTTGCATTTAAATTTCCTGGACAGTTACAATGGAGTAGACAAGCCAAAATCTGTGTACCTTTTAAATTGTACAATACTTAGTTTATTATTTTATGTGAATTGTGTATTTAAAAAAAAAATAATTTTGTAATTTTTTTTTTTTATGTGGCATGGAACATAACCCAATTTTCCCTCAAGTTGTCCACTCTACCTATCGCATTTTCATGCATAGCTCCATTTTTCTGGAACGTAACTCGTGTGAAAAGTGGTTGTCTACTGTATTTGTAATAGTAATGTGTTCTTTGGTAAATTATCTTTTTATAAATCTTTAATTAAAATGATATTTATTAAATGGAATACAGTACCTGATGAGAGTGTAAGTGTTATCCGCTGATATATACAGAGTCTTGAGTCTGGGCAGTTCATTATGTAGCGTACTGAGCCATCAAACTCTGCACATGGGTAAACAAAACGATTGTGGCGCTTCACACGTTGATTATTGTGAACACATTCATAACACTGGATTCCACATGCTGTGAAAGAGAGAACAAATATACATTATATTTACATAAAAGTTTTTTATATCAGGTTGCTGTGATGTCTTTGTGTACATCTAAAGTAATTTACAGGGACATCTGAGATTTTCCAGTATCACTCTTCAGAATAAATGACCATATTAAGCTAAGGTGACACCATTTGTGACCAGATTTATAGCAATTCAAAACATCATCAGTGACACTTGAGAAATAAGCCTTGAACCCTGTGGCAGCAGTTGAGACAGCACTGCCCCCTTGTGCCTAGTTGCTAGAATTTTTTCATTAAGTTGAGCAAGTCGGGGCTGTGAAGACTATCTAGCACAACAGAAGTAAATCATAATTAATGTATGATTCTGATCAGAGAGAAATGTGTACACTATGTGAGGCTTATAGTGGTTCCTTTAAAATGAAGGATGGTTCTTTCTTGCTTCCTGAAGCTTGATTAGATATTTTATGTGGAAGACTGAGTGTAAAGGGCATGACCCTTGAATAGTTCCATTAAAAAGAGAATCTTTAAGTGATTCAGTATTGAAGAGTATACCACTTTCATTTTCAATGTCTTTTCCAATACTGACATACTTGCTTTGTCTGTCTTCCTCTCTGAGAGTTCCACCTTGCTGTAAATACACTCTTTAAGTTGCTAACTGATGCTGGTTTGCTTCATCAGCTGTAACTTCCACCCTTTCAAAGATGTTCTTTCCTCAGCACCTCCACCTTTCCACTCTCCATCTCTTTCTCCTATGCATGCAGTTCTACATGACCGTTATAGGTCATGTATAAAAATAGTTTTCATGGTTCGAGATTTGGGGAATATTTTTTTGGAGTGCACCCAGTCTTTGTTTTGACTGCTGAAAAATTAAACGGCTAAAGTTGAGAACCAGGGTGTGTGTACACAGATATTTGAGTGTTAGTGTGTGTGGATCAGCTAAGTGTGAGTCCTGGGTCAGCATTGTTGTATTCAGCAGTGTAGCTGCATCAAACACTTGTCTCACCGTGTTAATGTAACTGAGTCATTTGTGCTCTCAGTACAGTGGAACCTTGGCACTCAAACTTAATTCATTCCATAAGGCTGTTCAAGTGTCAGTCCATTGGAGTATAAAAAAAATTCTTCCCGACCAATTTTCTTTTTGGTTGGCTATTATCACTAATCTTATTTATACAAATATTTAAAAAAAAAAAATGTTAAGAAACACAAAATAGTTTACAGCGAAGTTCTGGCAGGTCATGTTTGGTTGAGTGCTGAGCTTTGTTCAAGTAGGGAGCTGTTGAGTACCGAGGTTCCACTGTACTGATAATAATCAATATATTATGAAAGCTTTTAATGGGGTGTGGAATAAGATAATGGTTTTAAATGTAGCTAGCAGCCTTGTATATTTATGGTGTCTATTAATTCATTAATTTTGAACAATCAATATTTTAACCCGTAAACGGTCCAAGCAGATCTACGTTCACATGTGTAGTGCTACAAAAGTAGATCTACGTTTTTTTACATATTTTCAAATGTAACAAAAAAAAAAAAGTAGATCAAAGTTTTTTTACACATTTTCAAATGTAAAAAAACAAAAAGAAGATCTACTTTTTTTACATACTTTCAAATGTTGAAAAAACATATATATATGTTTGGACTGTTTACGGGTTAAGTGAAGAGCCTCTCGCTAATCGTTTTATTTGGTTTTGCATGGAGGCTAAATCTGAAGAAAAATAAAATAAAATTTTGCTTTTTGTGAACAAAATACATGAATGGTAATGTTTTACAGGTTCATTTAACCCTTTCAGGGTCGGCAGGCCCTCTCCTAAACTTGTTCTCAAGGTTGGAAATTTTTTGAAAAAAAAAAAAAAAAAAAAAAGAATTCTTATGAAATGATAGAGAATCTTTTCCTAATCATAATGACACCAAAAGTATGAAATTTGATGGAAAACTTACGGAATTATGCTCTCGCGAAGTTAGCGGTCTCAACGATGTTTATGCATTAGCGATTTTGCCCACTTTGAACCCTACTTTCAGTCAATTCCAATGTACCAGTCGACAAAAATCATAACTATTTTGCTAAAACTCCATTTTTTCTATTGAATGAGTACAAGAAACCACCAATTTACTGAAATTTGTGTGAAATTGGCAATTTTGCCAATTTCACACAAATTTCAAAAGATGCCAATTTCCAAATAGGGTCCAGAATAAACAAGACAGACATTCCTGGCACTAAAATAACATTTCCTCTGTTCATTAGTCATGTCCCCAGGCCTTCCACTTTGAATTTTTATTCTCACAAAAAATAGATGATTTACTGTTATGCAGACTACTGCATTTGTGTAGAAATGGTGTAGAAATGGTATAAATAATATCAGCACACTTGTGAAAGAATATTAGACTCACCAGTTGATGTGTATTGGACGCATTGCATGATTTGTTTACTTTTGAACTTTGGCAAAAATTGAACATTTCTGCTACTTTGAGCTCAATTTCAAGGTACTTTTCATTGTGAAACCAATCAAAATCATCTCAATTTCCATAATATGTCTTCCATTCTATAAAATGAGACCAGGAAAACTAGAATACAACCATAAATATCATATGAAAATACACTGCAAAGTCTCTGTTTTAAACCAAAAGCACTGTCGGAGTTTTTTCTCATTATGCAATGTGTGCTGCAGGATTTTTTTTTATACTGTGCACACTGACCACATAGACCCATTCTTTCATATGTAGGCCTACCAGCTTTCTCTCACTAGATTTGAAGGTGCTAGAATTTATGCGTACTAGTACGGCACCAACCCTGGCGTGCAAGCCATACTAGTCTGGCACCAACCCTGAAAGGGCTAACTTAATACTATGCAGCCTCTCCTCACTTAGGGATGTACTCGTTTACCTATGACTCAGACTTGCGACGGGCTTTCTGACCAGTATGCATACCTGATTTCTTCTATTCTGTTCATTACAGTATACAGTACGCTGCTGTATAAACATTTAAAAATATACCAGAAATGGTATAAATTGGCTATTTCTGTCGTATATACAGTGGACCCTTGACCAACGATGGCATCGATTAACGATAAATCTGACTAGCGATACATTTTAACGCAAAATTTTTGCCTTGACTAGCGCTAAAAAACTCGACCAACACTATTTGTTCCGTCTGAGACGCGTCCACTTCTGGCCAGTGTTTACAAGCCAGCCAGCCACCGCGGTCGCTTCCAAGCATACAATCGGAACATTTCATGTTATCACAGCCTTTTTAGTGATTGCACCTGCAAAATAAGTCACCATGGGCCCCAAGAAATCTTCTAGTGCCAACCCTACAGCAAAAAGGGTGAGAATTACTATGGATATGAAGAAAGAGATCATTGCTAAGTATGAAAGTGGAGTGCGTGTCTCCGAGCTGGCCAGGTTGTACACAAAACCCCAATCAACCATCGCTACTATTGTGGCCAAGAAAACGGCAATCAAGGAAGCTGTTCTTGCCAAAGGTGCAACTATGTTTTCGAAACTGAGATCGCAAGTACTCGAAGATGTTGAGAGACTGTTATTGGTGTGGATAAACGAAAAACAGATAGCAGGAGATAGCATCTCTCAAGCGATCATATGTGAAAAGGCTAGGAAGTTGCATGACGATTTAATTAAAAAAATGCCAGCAACTAGTGGTGATGTGAGTGAATTTAAGGCCAGCAAAGGTTGGTTTGAGAGATTTAAAGGGAAGGGAAGTACACGTAACCCCGGAAAAGGACTTGCTACCTCAAGTCCTAATGGAAGGGGATTCCCCTTCTAAACACTAAGACCATCAACACTCTCCCCTCCTCCCATCCCAACAATCATCACCAGATCTCCAATAAAGGTAAGTGTCATGTAACTGTGCATGTCTTCTTCAGTTTGTGTGTATTAAAATTAATATTTCATGTGGTAAAAACAATTTTTTTTCATACTTTGGGGTGTCCTACACAGATTAATTTGATTTCCATTATTTCTTATGGGGAAAATTAACTTGACTAATGATAATTTTGACTAACGATGAGCTCTCAGGAACGGATTAATAGCGTTAGTCGAGGGTCCACTGTATACGTCTTATGAGCGAGTGTTTTTGACGTATTTATACTCCAAAATTCTAGTGGCTTCAAATCAAGTGGGAGAAACCTGGTAGGCCCACATGAGAGAGAATGGGTCTGTGTGGTCAGTGTGCACAGAAAAAAAAAAATCCTGCAGCACGCAGTGCATAATGAGAAAAAAAAACTGACCGTGTTTTTGGATTAAAATGCCGACTTTGAGGTGTATTTTCGTATGGTATTTATGGTTGTATTCTCATTTTCTTTGTCTCATTTGATAGAATGGAAGACATATTACAGAAATAGAGATGATTTTGATTGGTTTAACAATGAAACGGACCTGAAATGTTCAATTTTTGCCAATGTTCAAGAGTAAACTAATGATGTCATTGTCCCATAAGTGTCCAACTAGATATTCTGATATACAGTCACAAATAGGTTGACATTATTTATACAGTTATTACAGTAATGCAGTAGTCTGCATAGCAGTAAATCTTCTATTTTTTTATGAATGAAAATTCAATATAGAAAGCAAGAGTAATATAAGAGGGGCCTGGGGATGTGACTAATGAACAGAGAAAATGTTATTTTAGTGCCAGAAATGTCTGCATTGTTCATGAACCCTGTTTCGAAATTGCCATCTTTTCTTGTACTCAGTAGAACAAATGGAGTTCTAAAGAAATAGTTATGAGTTTGGTCGACTGGAACAATGGAATTGGTAGAAAATAGGGATCAAAGTGGGCAAAATAGCCACTGCGTAAATTTCGCCGAGATTGCTAACTTCATGAGAGCATAATTCCATAAGTTTTTGATCAAATTTTGTACATTTAGTGTCATTACCATCAGGAAAAGATTCTCTATCATTTCATAAGAGAAAAATAATTTTTTTTTTAAATTCTTCGACACTGAGAGCAAGTTTGTGAGCAGGAGCCTCGACAGTCAGAGGCTTAACTCTTTGACTG